TACGCTCATTCGCTGTTTTTGCTCGCGTTCCGATTGCTCCATTGCGGCGGCAATCCCAAGAAGGCTCGGGTGTAATAGGTCTCCTGGGTCAGTTGATGCCGAGGACGACGGCTGGCTGTGCGCAGCCATAGTGCTGCTTGATTTCTCGGGTATCGATGAGTGGATAGATTTATTTACTTGCGTGGAGGTGTGGTGTGGTAATGGAGTTGTGAGCGTGCTCTCGACTATTCTCTAGCCTAGGCTGATCACCAAATACACGCTCACGCCGATATTTACACCAGACGGGAAGCAAAGCGTGGCGCACAAATCTGGAATATAGTTCTTCAGGATGGATGTGGCTTTTAGTTGATCAGTTTGTGATGACAATGATTTCACGCAGGTGTCTCGTGGCTCCGACTAATCAACAATGTAATGTTAGTAGAGCTTGAACTAATAATACGTGAATTGATTTCCATAATATTTAAATATTCCCCCGCACCACGTGAGCCTATCAACAGCGCACAATGTGCATGGTCGGTTTTCCATCAATTGGGATCCACATGGACGTGAAAAGGATAACGATAAGTTTACAAGATGACATGGACAATGGATACGATCTCGACGGGCGTGTGATTTTGAATTTTGGCAACGAGTCTCACGAATTGAGCTTTGTGCGCGCTAAAACTTCGCTTGCGAGAGTGCAGCCAACACTGTGAACGCAAGCAAACGATGGAAGGTGTTGTAGAACGCTTCCTGATGGTGTTCTCTAGTATGGTTTGAGTAGCCAGGATACCTACTCCACTTTGGAAGGAGACACCTTAGACTACAGTTGGCGCTGAGAGAATTCAGTGAATGGTGGAGACATTTCTGGATAACTTAGGGTTTTTGAGACGTTTTTTTTTTTTCATATTGTGTTCAGCTATTTAGCTATGACAATTTATTAGACATCTATATATTCCAAATGCCCAACTCCAAATGAACCCCCCTTTTTGTTCTACTGCCTTATTTCTATTAGATTTTTTCCTAATTAATCTCCTTTGTGTAAAGATATACATCTTGAAATTTTCAAAAATTCAAGCAATGCTTGGTGTATGAGACGTTCCCCTGGGTGACTATTCACGGATGAGGGTTGTCTTGGGGTGAAGAAAAAGCTACCAAAACTTCGCAGTGGTACTTGCAACTGAAATCCGAGGCATCAGTACTTTTCTTGTATATTGAGTCATCTATTATACACTTCTCTGATATTGTGTCATAGCTAAATAGCTGCATACGCAATTAAAATCTGATGCAAAAAAAACAATAATGACGGCATAATCAACAGACGATCAAGGGTTACACTGGTGTCTCAACACAAGCTGGAGCTATTCAAGAGTGGTCCAGGACGCCTGCGCAAACAGCTCCTGGCGATGCAAAAAAAAAAAAACAAAACAGCTCCTGGCCACCCCCCCACCACAATTGTATGAACCATCGGGGTCAAGTTCAAGACAACAGTCATCCTTGTTCGGCACGCAAAGGCAGTGAAAAGAAGGCGTGGTATACTTAAGCTATGCCTGTCTCGGACTTGTGGTCAACTACACTCCCTAAGGGTAACGAAGGACTATAGAACAAGGAGAAAACCTAATAGAGGAAGGGGTTTTATCGCAATGATTCTCCCCTCATGTAGATGTATTGATAGGTTCGTAGGCGCCTGCATGGGTCAACATTGTGCCAAACCAGATCGAACTGTGCTAAATTCTACAATAGAATGGCGATGGTTACAGTTTCATAAAAGCTACATTTTCCATTCCAAGCACTAGTCTGTTGTTGACTTGAGACTTTAGATTATCAAACCCTTGATTACAGTATAAGTACTCCTGTGCATAAGGGAACTATTGAACTGAATTTGTACTACGGCTTTTTGTCTTGTAAATTATTCATGTTTTAGAATTTCATCATTAACCTGAATATCTCGTCCTCTTCCTTGTCAGTCTTTGCCTTCGTTTTTGCTATCATATTCGACCACATTTTTGTCCTCATTGTCATCAAATTGTTCCCATTGCTTGTCCATACTATCATTGTATTAGTTCGGGTCAAAGTCCTCATCTGTGACATGTTTCCCGTGATGAATATCCACTTATTAAAGAGTTTTCTCTTGGAGTTCAGCCACATTTTCCACCGAACCTTCCACCTTACAAAGAGGTAGCGATTGAAACTACGTGCGCGGGAAGCGTTACTGAAATAGCTGCAGCTCCAGCCAGATGAGGACTAGACACTAGAGCCACATGAGGTGCGCATATCCATCCATATCTCCCTTCGTCGTAACATTAGAGGCCAGCTTGATTCAATCCACCATCTCTGTATAGGGTGCTGGGTAGGCTTCGGAAACAAATCAGATGACTTCTAAATATCAAAGAGCAAGTGACGAGAAGGGTTTCGGCCCTGACACCTGATCAGATTGTGAGGGCTAAATGACAATGGTGACAGGGGTTTGTGATGAAAGATGAAGACGATATAGACCGCGAAAGCGATAGGGAACCCTCGTCGAAGTGAGGACTTTGTTACTCAATCCCAGCTCTAAAGATTCTACAGTAAGAGCTAGAGGCTCGAAGGGGACACCACTGACAGGTGTTGAGAATAATTTCCCTTTTGTGGTCGGGAGATCTGTGCCAACTGGGAGTTCAGTCCCAAATCTGCCCGACACCGCACCTTCTAACAAGAATCTCAGTCGGGAAAGTGAATCGACAATTGGCAGGAACTTAATATTGACCTTGAGGAAATCTAGCAGTCTCAGGTTCGTGAAGGATAGCGCTGATAATTGTTCAATCTATGTTTCCAAATTGGTTTAGGTGCTGGTTGTGACATTTACATACCTAGATTTTGACCCGTTAGTCGCCAATCTAGTTTGAAAATCGCTGGCGATCCAATCGAATTAAAAAGAGATACTTCTCTTAAATTTGTAATGATCAGTTCAACAAAAGTATATAGTTCAGTCACTGGAGTCCAGTCAACTGTTGCCAAGCAATCGTGCCCAGCCGTCGCCATTGGTTCTCACTTAAGCACTCATTCCATCTTATCCCATCTCAGCAATGTAAGCGCCTTAATTAACACCCATGGAATCAATCTCTAAACAGCAGCATCGAATGAAGCTTGACCAAGGATATTGAATCAGTCGTCTGGAGTATTTTCACTCGCCTCGACTTAACCACCACTTGCGTGAGCCTTATGCCCCAATCCGATAGACGTGATACGGATGCATGAGCCCTTTTTTTTAAATCATTTAATGTGTATTCAGCTATAAAGCTATGACACATGACCGGTATTATGTAAACATGTTGGATGACTCTTTTGACGTTAGAGACATTTGTACCCTGGATTTCATTTGCAAATACCACTATGAGGTATACTTGCTTACACAATCAGTCAACCCTCCTCCGTAAGTACCCACCAAAGGAAATTTCAAAACCTTTGGTTCTCCAAGCATGCCTTCGTCATCCATACATACCAGCACTGCGAGAAATGTGGTTGTGTTTTGCTGGATTTGAACCAGCAACCTACTGTCCCAAGTGGGATATGTGTCCAAGCTATCCAGACTCTACTTGGCAGACCAGCCAAGACAATTACCACCACACCATCCAACCATGGCGGTGTTTATAGTGTCGCCTGCACTCTCTCAACCGAAGTCTTGGCACACACAAAGCTCAATTTGTAAAAGCTCCTTGCCAAAATTCAAAACTCCACGCCTGTTGAGACTGTATTCATCTTTTGCATCATCTTCTGAACTTGTCCTGAATCCTCTCACGCCAATCCCAAAGAACAGTTTCTCAGATTTGTGCGACACGCTTTGTGTCCTCTGTCTGGCATAAATATCGGCGTGGGCGTGTATTTGGTGACCGGCTGAGGCCAGAGAAAGTCGACGAGAGGTGTGGTCATTGAAGCGAGGATGAACTAGGTCGTACTTGTAAACTTGATGAGGCTTGGATAGGATTCGGACTCGTTGGGGATGAAAATTTGACGTGGTGGAGTAGTTTGAATCGTTGCCTCGTGGGCCAATTTGTTCAGTATTGCGAAATTTGAATGAACATGGCTCTGGGTGGATATTTCACTCCCAGGTTCGTAGAGAGCACCACTGACTGGTGTTCAGCCTTGCCCTTCATGCATGAGTCCTGCAGAAGCGTCTCAACCTACATCATCAGGTAATCTTTGCCTGAGGAAACTGAGGAATAAGAAAACTCATTGTTAGTGTACCCTGCTACTTGATATGGTGCTGTAAGATACACTAAGAGACTTGTTGATTGATTGATTTTATTTTTAGGTCCTAAGCTAAGCTCTATATCTCCTAGGAGTCAAAAACCGGTGTACACGGCCGAGATTATGCTTCCCACATACCCGACTCGGTCTCACCGCGTGACTCACTACACAAAAAGTAGCTAGTTATAATAAAGAAAATAAATGCCCACACAGACTCCCATAACTAAAATTCCAAATCCCATACTCCTGTTTGTGGTTGGAAAATGACACTTCTGGTCTCATTTTCCTACCTGCCATACATCGTGCTATGACTAATTACCACCGTCTCCGCTGAGAGCTGGAGACGGAGTCGCAGGTGGGCCCCCGAAGCAGCCGGTTTCCTGCGCAAATTTTGTAAAGTTCTCGAGACACTTAGGCCCGAGAAGCTTGTGGACAAAGTCGTGATGTGACATTGTACCTCGTAGTCGACGCGTCTGGCGTGCGTGCAGTCGATAGTGAATGAAGTGGAGAGGCGTTGTTTCCTCTCCACACGCACACTCCATGGAAGCGGCGAAGAGACTTGTTGATTCTATTATTGTGATAGTTCCTTGTTACAAAGCGAATCCTGTGATTCGACTCGTAAGCCATTCACATCATGCGACCTTCTCGACTATATAGTTTGCAATTCAGACCCCGTAGTCTGAATCAGAACCAGATTGTCACGACATTAACTTTCCCACGCCACCTACCATACTACAAAAGTAATTCTATAACCAGATACACCATACATAAATAAAACACCAACATACCAAAACATGGAGCCATCAACTGAATTATTTGATTATTTCAATCTAAATCCAATTGATCCAATAGTCAATCGATTCCGGAGCAACATTGACGAGGGCCGCAACCAAAAAACTGGTATGTTTCAGCCACCGAATTTGAAGATAAAAGCTAATGAAGTAGCAATATCTACATTTTTGAACGACCTAATTAATCACGCCGATGAGATTGAAAACCACACTAGCAAAAAGGCTTTCAAGATTTATCTTAATGCAACTAATACAAAACTTATATGCGACGAAGTTTCTGTCTCCGACTTCAGGGACTTAACTGCATCGATCAAGAAACAGGTGAGCGACCGAGAAATTTTGAAAACCGTCATCAATATAGCAAAAGAACTTAGCAATGAACTTGATCCAATTGCTTTGATGCGACCTGTACATTCGACGGTCACTAGACTGAAGAAGACTGGAGAAGTTCCAGGATATGACAAGACAACAGCTTCACTTACAGATGCGCTCAAATCTGAAACCTCGGGCAAGATATACAGAGATGTCGCTGAATTCTGGGAAGCCAACTTCATAACAAATAAACCATGGTGTGGGCTAGTGAACCGTATATGGGCTAGCTATCGCGATAATGGCCAATGCGGAAGTGACAACGCTTTCTCGTCAAACATGGACGAGGATGCTTGGAGAAGATGGCTACATGCATTTCGAGATCGATATCTGATTCAATTAATGAAAGAAGAAGACTTCACGGAAGTCCATCAACCTGCCGTGAAAAGAAGGCGAAATGATCCACTCGTGCGGAGTAAATTTTGCCACAATACAATACCTAGTCAATTTAAGGGCGGGAAAAGTAATAGGAAATTGGACTTTTTCATCGAGAGTTCCGAAATCCCTGATTGTGAGACTCACAAATGGACAGATGTGAGAGTTGTGGGCGAAGTAACATCATCAGAGGAACAAATAGGCGCAAAGTTCAATCAGCTGATGAGATACGCGCGAGAAATTTTCTATTCGCAGCCGTTGCGTCGATTTGTGCATGGTTTCTGTTTGCACAAAGACCACATCGAGTTCTGGATTATTGATCGAGCAGGCGCGTACAGCTCTGGAGAATTCGAGGTACTGAAAACCCAGGAAATGCTAGTGCGAGGGTTGTCGGCATACATGCTCATGAGTGATGAAGAACTCGGGCTGGACCCAGTCATTAGCTACGACGACGCTAACCGATGTTTCGTGACATTAACAAATGACAATAGCGAAACTGAAAAACTTGAGGTGATTCCTACGCCTGTTGCTCGACCCGAGACGATAGTCTCGCGAGGAAGCACCTGCTTCAAGACGAAAGACGAAAAGTATCTGATCAAGTTTTCTTGGGGCACCGGTGCAAAAGATAATGAAATCAAATTTCTCAATCGTGCCAAAAATTTAACAGGCGTTATCCAGATAGTGAGTTCAGGGAAACTCTATAAAGTTGCAACACACCGAAAAGGTATAAAATTCTCGAAGGATAAATTATGGATCTTTATAGCCAAAGACCAAGTCCTCGCCCGCGGCAAACAGGAGACAATTTTGAATGATGAACTTTACGTGAAACGTAGACTAACCTATGTCAAACTTACGCCGGTCGGACGCCTCATTCACTCTGCCGTAACGGTTCGGGAGTTTGTGAGTGGTATACGTGATGCGATTATTGGGCTACGAAACTTGCATGATAAAAATATCATTCACGGTGATATCTCGTCAGGAAACATCATTCTGACTGGGCCGGATAAAGACGGTAAGACGAAAGGAATTCTGATAGATTTGGACATGTCTTCTTTACATGAGAACGAAAACGAGAAGAATTTGCCCAGAACAATAACAGGTACTCCTATGTATATGGCGTTGGAGCTTTTGCGAGCCATATATCAAAAAAAGTTAAATCTGAAGCAAACATATCGTCATGATCTCGAATCTTGTTTTTACGTTCTCATAGTCGGATGCATGACCTACGGTGCCAAATCAATGCCGGAAAATCTTAAAGATTGGTTTTCCCACAGTTCACGCACTTGCTTTTCATCGAAAGAAAATGATATCAAATATTTTGAGGAACATATCATCGACATTTTCTTGCCAAAGTTTCAAGGTGTTAAGGAGTTGGCCAGGAATCTTCACGAAATTCTGTTCGGAAATAAAGATATTGAATTTGGGTCACCAAAAGATCCGAATATACTATATAATCCCATAATTGAAGCTTTTGATGAAAGTATTTCGAAACTTGAAGGTAAGAAAGATTTTCCATCGATCACGAATTGCTTTTCAGCTCTAGTATAATATGCTAACTTACGCTTCACTTTCTATAGCCTATGTGCTGGACAAAAAAGATGACGACAACATTCGGAAAATAAAAGGAGCGGTGAATCGACGGAATTTAGATGACCATGCATAGTTATAACCGAAGAGTTGAAGAAATGCATTGGATGAGTAATTGTAATTCTAATCTGCATAATACAAGATAGCGATCAATGAAATTTAGCAAACTAAATTAGGCTACAACTAATTGATGAGAATAGAATTGAAGCACTTCCGAAGTTTTAGTAATTGAAAATAATCCGTTAGCTGTCGTACGACGGTTTCATCTCTGGCAAGAAATATCTTGGTAGCCCAAAACGAAATCGGATGACTGGAATTTCCCACGATCATTCCCTATTCCACATTGAATTCTAACACGAATGCACCTCTCATTCTCCTAAACCATAGCAACTTATTATCAGTATCCTGACCAAATAATTAACTTAACTTGATAAACAGTATTTCATGACCAAACCTGACAAGGGCCCAAATCAGTCTAGCGATGCAAAAAGGAAGTGAACTCATTGGACTCAATTTGTTTCTATTTAGTAGAAAAGTGTTGTAATTAAGGCAGCAACATGACTGCAGTAAACAAATAGTACATATTAGAATAATATGCACTGGCGCCATGAGATATGATTAACCCATATCATCACTCACTGGCATGAATAGTAATTAGCCAATAGATGCCTAACAGTATACATTGGCTTCAGGATCTCCAACAACCTTCCCGTCTAGGTTAGATTAGGGAGTATGTTGGAATTCACACTAGTGTGCGGAAAACCCCGATTTCATGTATATAGAGGGACTTCTCGCCACACATATAGAATTATAGCAATTTCTTTACAATTAACTATCCATTAAACATCAGTAGACTTCGTCGTACATTAAACAAACTCATCATAACTCTAATTTATCCTCATACTTGGTATGTCATTCTTACAATTTCCGGAACCATTCTAATTAAAAGTACCCAGAGCCTACAGTTCAAGCTGTCCAGATGGCTCCCAATTACAGAACCCCAAGCACATGATCAAGTTCTGCCTTCAATGGTCAAACAGAAAAGGAGAGATCTGGAGACAGGCCAAAAATCGATCCTACGAAGCTATGACAAGTATTGCGAGAGACATCAGGGAAAGAACACAGTGGGTCCTTAATCATTGTTTGTTAGTAGGCGTATTCACTGTGTAACTGCTAGCAGTCTGTCGTCCATAATTCTTCTTGTGTATTGTCTATTCTCTTCAATGCTAAGGGAAGATTTAGGGGAAGCATGTCACATGATGTAGCCATGTGACATCATGAATTCCTGACAATGATCTGAGACTCTGTACAATATTATATGGATATGTACGATAAAGAAAAGGAGACTTGATATTGTACAAGTATGGGAACATTTGACTAATAGGTACATCTAAGGGGAGAAATTCCCTCTAGTCTCTCTTTCTTTTTTTTTAAATCATTTAATGTGTATTCAGCTATAGAGCTATGACACATGACCGGTACTATGTATACATGTAGGATGACTCTTTTGACGTTAGAGACACGCATACTCTGGATTTCATTTGCAAATACCACTATGAGTTATGCTTGCTTACACAAACAGTCGACCCTCTTCCGTTAGTACACACCTAAGGAACATTTCACAACCTTTGTCATCCATGCATACCAGCGCTGCGAGAAAAGCAATTGTGTTTTGTCGGTTTTGAACCCGCGATCTACTGTCTCGAGTGGGATGTGTGTCCGAGCTATCCAGACTCTATTTGGCAGACCAGCCTAGATAATGTACCACCACACCATCCAACCATGACTGTATTTCTACAATGCCTCTGGGATAGTAATGTCGAGGTTGAAGCTGGCTTGTTTCAGGGACTAGCCTTGCAGGCGCAGTTGGGCTAGCTCATAATAGGTTAGACTATTGTTCGACCCTCCGCAACTGCTAGTCGCTGTGATGGTACGATCGAAATACCGGCCTTAGATGCGTCCTCACCTCGGCCAAGGGCACCAACAACTCGACCTACGACGAATCGCCACCGACGGAATACGAACGACATTTCGCCGGCACATCAACTAGAGCATTCGACAAAGGCTCGGGCATCGGTGCCTCGGTCTTGAGCTCTCAGTCACGTTCTCGACCTCCACGATTAGGGGTACAGCAGCGACGGGGAAAGGCCGGAGGGGTGGACATTCTACAGAGTTTCTGGGATGACGAGATGGGCTGAAGGATAGAGGGATGCTACATGATGGAACCAAAAGGGAATACAAACTGAGGAGGCCTTGGTGGGCGGCTGGATGAGGCCTCCAGTCAAAAAAACGATCCCTGGATGAGATGAGGAGATGCTGAGATGAGCCAAAGCTGCGAATGAATCGAAGGGAAAAGTTACAGATGGTGAAGGTGTCAAGGGCTCGGGCGCGTGTTGGCCGAGGCTGAGGAAGAATTTGCGCTTCGGCGCGCCAAAAGGGAGTTCTCTGGACGGTTGGGCTTGACATGATTTAACACATGGGTGAAGTCTGAGGTGGTCCGGTCATTCAGGTGGGACGAGAAAGATGTACTTAATGGTAGTTAACCTGATCTAGCCCGACCCCACCCGTGCTTAAGCTCCAGTAGGAGTGCAACGGTAGTCACTATATCTAGCACGTAAATGAACAAATCAAAACAGCTGTCCGCCCCTCACAGCTCTTGAATCGAGATCGCATTCCACCTACGAAATTTTACTGCCACATCTATCTCTCAATCGCTCAAACCACCCCAGTCCTCCGCAGAGGCTGGCCCTTTGACCCCCTCCCACCTGTATGTTTGTGTGTGTATGTGTTTTATTGTAATACTTGAGTCTATGACTATCTAGCACATTGGGCCCACATGAGCTGCGCATATTCATCTGTATCTCCTTTCTTTGTAACAATCGAGGCCGACTTGATCCAATCCACCATCTCTGTATTGGGTGCTGGGTAGGCTACGTAAACTGATCGGATGGCTTCTCCATGATCAAGGGTGAGTGATGAGTAGGGCTCCGACCCTACCATCTGATCTAATTATGGTTAGCTTCATGGTTATAGTGATGGGGGAATATGTTGGGAGATGAAGACGATAGAGACAGCGAAAGAGATTGGGAATCCTCGTCGGAGTGAGGACTTTATTACTCAATCTCGGCTCTGCAGACTCTACAGTGAGAGCTAGAGGTTCGTAGGGGACACCACTGACAGGTGTTGAGAATAGTCCCCCTCCCACCCGTAAATTCGACGCGTCCTGACGTCGAAATAGTCCTTAGAGGACCAAAACCGCCATCTCGTCTACCCACACAACAATTTGTAGAGACAATCTACGAGGCGAGTCATCAAAACTTACCCCACATTCCAACTCCGTCGCCTCAAATTGTCGCGATCGAATTCCTCGCCGTAGAGGGCAGGATATTCCAGGCGCGCTCTGCACAAGCGGAGCGCTTATCATCGGATTCTGCAAGCTGCCAGAACCAGTCACTGACGAGAGACTTCGAAAACTCTTTGATCAGAACTTACAGGCCCTTCAGGACAATATCTTGGAAATTCCGTGGGGCAACCCATCTCAAGCAGACACCTACGCTGTTGCAAAGGTTGCTAGTGGCCATGCAAACTCGTCTTATCCGGCTCAACTTACACAGCCTCCTAAACAAAACCCTGCAAGCGTCACATGTCCAGTGCTGATCCTTGGAGGGCAAGACTGAACATCTGTACGCGGTGTCCTCTACGAACCTGGGAGTGAAATATTCTCCCAGAGCCAAGTTCAGTCAAATTTCGCAATATCAAAGAAGTTGGCCCACGAGGCAAAAATTCAAATTACTCCACCATGTCAATCTTTCACTCCCAAAGAGTCCGATTCTCAACTAAGCTTCATCAAGTCTACAAGTACGACCTAGTACATCCTTGTTTCAATGACCACACTTCTCGTCGACTTTCTCTGGCCTCAGCCGGTCACCAAATACACGCCCACGCCGATATTTACACCCGACGGAGGAAGCAAAGCGTGGAGCACAAATCTGGGAGATAGCTCTTTGGGTAGGACGTGAGAGGGATTAGGACAAGTTCACAAGATGATGCAGAAGAGGGATACGTTTTCGACGAGCGTGGAATTTTGAATTTTGGCAAGAGTTTTACGAATTGAGCTTTGTGCGCGCCAAGACTTCGCTTGCGAGAGTGCAGCTGACACTATAAAAACAAGCAAACGATGGAAGGTGTTGTGGTCCGCCTCTTGGTGATATTCTCTGGTATGGTTTGAGTAGCCTGGGCACCTACTCCACTTGGGAAGGAGACATCTCAGATTACATTTCACGCGGAGAAAAGTTGATGGATGACGGAGGCATGTCTGGATAACTCAGGGTTTTTGAGACGTTCCCCTGGGTGGGTATTCACGGATGAGGGTTGACTTGGGGTGAAGAAAAAGCCACCATAACTTCGCAGTGGTACTTGCAAATGAAATCCGAGGCATGAGTGCTCTTCCTGTAAATTCAGTCATCTATTATACACTTCTCTGATATTGTGTCATAGCTAGATAGCTGCATACGCAATTAAAATCTGATGCAAAAAAAAAAAAAGTGCTGATCCTTGCCAGAGAAAAGAACAGACCGGCACTACCAAGGCCGTTAGCATAGCCTACTTTGGCGCAGAGACTTGGTGGCCTAGCCGCACTAGATACAGCAATAGACTCATCTCGAATCGAGTCGAAGGACACCTATCCACCCTCCGCAAAGTTATTCTAACGGGGGCCAGAGCTATCCTATCTGTATATCGGACTACGCCAATCCATATTCTGCACCGTGAATTAGGTCTCCTCCCTCCTGATTTAGAGTCCAGCTCTAAATCAGAATTCGCGGCACTGCGAATCCAACGCCTGGACCCTAGACACACACTCTGTCAATGAGCCACATGGACCCAGGCACGCAATCAACGAGTCTCCCGTCTTGCGGGCTGGGTTCTCCAAATTCCGAACACTGAAACGATCGACCCTCTGA